AAGAGGGGGGGGGGGGGTAATTTTCACCCTGAGAGATATATTCCCAAGAAAGTGCTCTGTTGTCATGGTTGCAAAAAAGTGATATTTTTAGGTTGTACTCATTTTTGAAAATCATTCTGCCTGCAAATTGAAAATGAAAGGTCGTTTTTAATAGAACCCCAAATTTAATAGCCCTATCAATAGGTATTAACGCTGATCCAAAGCCACCACACACTCCCCTTCCCTCTATTTTCTAGGGTGCATTTAAAAAAAAATCTAAAAGCCCCAAATTATAACCTAAATTTGCAGTCATCTGACAGCCTGGGTCTTAAGTCTTACTTATCCTGGACTGCAATATACTATGATCCTTTTTTGAGTGGTGACGTCACTCTTTGATGACTTAGACATTTCCCATTGGCTAGGTCCTCACAGGCACCTGAAGCACGTAGCGACCTTAAAGGGTCCATCAAATAGGTTCTCACAGAGTGCTGAAAATTTCAAAAATTGGGGTCATAAAGTCACTATGTAAGCGGTGGCAACCAGACTGGTTAGCAGCCCTGGAGTTTAGCAGCAGATGACCATTACCAGAAGGGGCTCATCAAAGGGTCACGAGGACTCAGGTAAATAACAGGTGAGTTAACAGTAAATGGGTGGGAGCAGGGAGAAGACGTGGGAGGTATTTTTTTTTTTACTTTTGCCCAAAGATAGGCTTCAATGTTTAAAAAAACATTGTAAACATAATTGCATATGTACATTTGGGGCAGCTATATTTGATCCTTAGATATCCCTTGCTCTTCTTCCTGCTTTGGTTGTGCTTTGCTGCTCGTTCTCACAATGCAAGTCTAGAAGTTGTCACACTCATTGTGATAAGCAAATAGAAATGTGTGGTGCTTTTTGACAAGCTCTGATACTACTTGGAAATATAGGAGCTCTGCAGGTCAGAACAGCCCAGAATTCATCCATAACAGCAAAATTTGGGAGGCTGAAGCAGATACCTGTACATAGTACTTGCAGTACCCCCACCCCTAATAACAGTCTCTTTAAATTACAAAGTTGCTCTTATGGTAAGGCCTCATTCACACTGCCGCACATATACGCGCGTACGTACGTATTGTACCATATGCAAATAAATGGCTCCATACACACAGCCGCGTATGGAGCCGTATATTTGCGCAGCGTATATATGCGCAAAAAAAGAATGGAACAGAGATGCGTCCGGGCAGCGTATCTCTGCGTATTTACGCGCACATACGCGTGTATACGCGCGTACATGCGTTAAGCACATTCAAATTCCATTACGAGTGATGCATTCTGGGATTGCATATAGTGCATAGCGCATAGACGCGTATATACGCAATATACAATTTTGCTTGCGTTGTGTGTAAATGAGGCCTAATAGTATATATTACTATATAAATATAATAAACTGTTTACAAAAAGTGGAATTTTCCTTTAGGACCAGGAAGAAAAAAAAAGTTAACCGTTGTTTTAACGACCAGGATCTATAAACCAAACCACACCATAAAATAAACTGCATTAGAAGGACATAGTCTCACCTTCCTCTGCAGTTTATCCTGCGGCTTGCTGCTTTTATTGTGGCTGCTTAGAAAAGCCACAGAAAATGAGAAGCTTCTGCTTCCCTGTGAAGGGAGGATACACTGAGCAAACCAAAAAGACTCAGACGTCTGAATCTACACTGACAGTAATGCAAACTGCAGGAGTCTGCAGGTTTGCTCAGACTTTTCAAAATGGTTATATTTCAGTATATCCACCTGGAAAAAAATGACTACATCCTGAAGCATGCAAAACAATTCTATTTAGTTCACAAAGTCCGAGCAATCAATAATTGCATGACTGTCATTTGCAGCAATCCATTCATTTACATATATTGTTAGGCATGGATAGAATGGAAAAGATATTTCATGCCATCTTAAAGTTAGCTTTTCATTAAATATTTTTGTGTGTGTCCCATCTCCTTCACCATTTAAACCGCTGTAATTTTTTTTGTCTGTCAGTGTCCCATTGGGGAGATTTCCCCTTCGTTTCTTGCAACACAACTGGAACAGGTACCCCCACAGGAAAATTTCTCCTTTATTCTTATTCTTTTGATAACCATATAATTTGGGTATTAAGTACTCCCCAGTGACAGTGGTTACCAGGAGAAACAGAGGATGGACATTTTCCATTGGCGTCACAGACAGAAACCTGACAGAGGGCTGTTCTCTGGTCTTGTAGCCATACCAAAAAAATACACATCTCCCCACCTGGCCCCACATGACTCAGAGATGCCGCAGCCTCATGCCTTCTTATTATAGGGATGGCCCTGCTGAATAGAATCCCATTGAGATGTTTTAAACAAGTTCCTTTTGTGCCTGGCACTTCTGCATTACAAAATGTGCGATCATTACTGAACAAAAATCACATTCAGAGTTATAATTTCATTAGGATCAGAAACAAGAAACATTTTCCATCCGGCTACTTCGATTTTCCTTGTCACTTCTGTCGAAAATGAATCCATTACATCTCCCTAACCATTAGAAAATCGAACGAACATTCCAAAAATGTGTAGCCAGCTTTAGACTACAGTTGATTGTACAAAACCCAGATTAAGGTACACAGCGTGCAACGTTTTCTGATGTTACTCACAGCCTGGAATTATTAACATAACTTCTGCATTACTCAGCAAAGATGGTTCAAGAATATGGTATGTGTATTATTACCAAATGACAGCAAACAGGGATAGGCTGCCCTTCTGATCACCATTGTGCACACTCAATTGTGATGATTGCATACATTTAAGGAATTGAATTACACCATTTTCTTGATTGCAGAGGGCAGCCATAGAGGCAGGTGAAAGCCTTGCTCATGGTATAGGTTCTCTCTATTAATAGACATCAGTAAAAATTACTTCCATACTTTTTATAGTACTATAGACTGCTAACAGTTGTACCCTTTATAGCAGTGGTTCTCAACCTTTCTAGTGGCCGGGGCCCCCTTGGTAATTATTTTTTTATTA